GGAGACAGCAGCAGCTGGGGGTGGGCCTGGCTGGGAGTGATGGGACCCCCCACGGCAGTGGCAGCACTGGTGAGGGCTGGCTTGGTGCTGCCATGGGGAAGGAGCACAGCCGGAGGGTCCCACTGTGCTGTGCCAGCCGGTGGAGCAAGAAGCTCAGCTTGGCAGGGATGCACAGGAGGGAGAAAGAGACAGATGCCGAGGGGCTCTCTGCACAGTGATGGACCTGCCCTGGGGTCTGGAGGGTGAAACTGGGACCAGTGGCCCCAGAGCCACAGAGTCCTGGGCTGTTATGGCCTTTCCCTAGCACTCAGCCCTCTCCTCCCCACCATGGCTCCCAGGCTCTGTGCCGTAGCACTGACAATTTGGCACGTTCCCCTCTGACCTATCCAGAGGAATGGCGTGGCATTGCCTGCCCGGGGGAACCAGAGCACGCTCTCACCCCACAGCGCAGGCAGCCAGCTTGGAGCAGCCAGCCCGCCCACAAACACAAAGGAGAGCTCTGTGTGCACTGGCCTTTGAATACTTGGCACAACCTGACCATGGCAAGCAGCTCCAGACGCTTCCCTTTTGACTCCAGTGAGCACTGCTAACTGCAGGGACTCATGAAATCCTGCTGACGAAGAGATCAAAGCGGAGCGCAGGGCCAGCAGGAAGCTTGTGGCTAGTGCCGGAACGTGCCTGCTCAGGCTCTCCAGCCACTCCAGTGACATGAGCCCGTGCCGCTGCTTGGCCCAGCACCCAGGGACCTGCTGTGGCCCATGGTGCCGCTACCCATGTGTCCCATCACTACTCCCTGGACCCCCCCAAATCCCCTCCTAGCTAATGCAACCCAGACTCGAGCTCCAGGATGGCCCTGGTCTTTGGCTCCTGCTGCCTGGTAGGGGATTCAGGACCAGCCTGTTTCATGCTGCTGACCCAGTGCATCTTCCCTGGCAGGTGGATAAAGTTCGAGGAGAAGGTGGAGGATGGAGGGGAGCGCTGGAGCGCACCCCATGTCACGGCGCTCCCGTTGCACAGCCTCTTTGAGCTGAGGATGTGCCTGCAGAAGGGGACAGTCCTCCTGGATCTGGATGCCCACAATTTCAAGGAAATAATCAGTATGTGAGAAAGACAAAGGTCACCTCATGGGATGGGCTGTTCCTGGGAGTGGGCAGGTACCTGGGGTGACTCTGCTAGCCGAGGAAAAGGGGCTTTTCCCTGGCTGAGCCCCATGCAAAGCTGCAGGCCAGGGGCCAGCCCCACACAGGCTTACAGCTGGGGGCCAGCCACCAGCAAGGCAGTGGAGCCTGGAGAGAACTCAGCACCATCCCCTTCCATGTCACAGACAAGGCACTTTCTGGGCAGCCTGAGGAGCGAGCCCTGCGGCCTGAGCTGAAGGATCGCCTGGCAGCCCTGCTGCTCCGCCAGCCCCAGCACCAAGCCACCAAATCCCTGCTGTGGATGCTTGCTGAGCTCAGCCTCTCCCCCTGCAGAGGTAGGCACAGTGCTGGACTGCACTCCCCTGCTGGCTGCGAGGTCTCACATAGGGCATTGCTGCGATGGGGCTGGGGGCAAGGAGAGCCAAGCAGAGCATGGGGCTTCCCCTGGCATGCACAACCCTGACCACTGGGTCAGGACACTGCTCTCACCAATTGTGCCTCTACTGGCCTCTGTGCCACATACTCAGGGCAGTATCAGTGCTACCCATTTGCTCACGCCTGTATTTTGCTGCATGGCTCTCTTCTTTGCAGGGAAGGCCAAAAACCTGTCTGAGCCTAGTGCCCAACTCTCAGAAACGCCTCTCAAGGAGCAGGTAAGGCAAGACGGAACTGGGCAGGAAGATCAGGTTATCAGTGGAGGGAAAAGATTTTTCCAAGCAATATATCTACTTCTTGGCCAAAACCCAAAACAAATTGAAAAATTCTGCCTGCAAACAGCATTAGCATTATTGGGAAGTGATGCTGGGTCAGGTCTTATGGAGTAGGACCTGCATCTGTCTCTACAGGACCAACTCTCCCCTGATGTGTCCTCTCTATGAGAGAGGCAGGATTCCCCGGGGGTTTCGGGGTCAGCAGGAGACAGCCAGCTGGGGAGGCAAAGCGGGGCACAAGGCAGCCATCAAGGTTAAAAGTTGGAAACAATGTGATGGCTTGAACTCATTGCCAGTGGGTCCCAAGTCCCTGGGCAGCTGTTGCATCCTGAGCCCCAGCTACTGGACAGAGAGAGAGTGGCTGCACTGCAGCCTGGGATGATGCTATGGCAGATAGCATCCCGCACGGACCTTTCTTTCTTTCCATTTCATTTCAGCTGAAAAACCAATTCAAGAAGAAGCTCCCGCCAGGGGCTGAAGTAGCCAGTGTGCTCATTGGTGAAGTTGACTTCCTAGAGAAGCCCTTTATCACCTTCATTCGCCTCAAGGAGATGGTGGTCCTCGGTGCACTGACCGAAGTCGCTCTCCCTAGCAGGTAACTAGACCATGACCAGTGGTCCTGCAGCCCCTGCTCCCTGCCCTGCAGCCCCCTTTGCTGTCAGTCTTCCCTGCTCCTTCCTTCATTGTTTCACCTCTGAAACTGGGAGCACAAAATAGCCATTTAGACTTGGCAACACGGGACGAGACTTTGCTTGTTATAAGCAAGTTTTAAAACTCCCAAAGCCACGTGCAGAGCCTGTATGTGGTCCCAGAGCCTCGCTCACTGCTTCCCATTCTGTTTTTCACAGCTTCTTGGAAGCATCCAGTCCATCGCATCCGGGACAGGCTCGGAGCAGAGAGTCAGCAGTGGTTAGGCAGTCTGGGCAGACGTTCCCTGGGTTGTCCCCACCTGGGCTCAGCATTCACTGTCCTCTTTAGGAGGGTCTGGATGCAGTCCCTTCACCGCCC